CTGGCCCGGCAAGCCACCTCTTTTCCCACAAGATGCCTGTATCCTTTAGTGATAAATAGTTTTAAAGACCAAATCTGGAGGTCAAAAGTTGACATTTCTTTTTGAGTCCTTTGAACTGCTTTGGTTCCTTTGTTTAAAAAAAGAAATCACACGAATGGATCTATTTTTTGATTCTCTAGTTGTTCCATTGACACATCTTTCTCTTTAAGCCATTATCATACTCTCCTAATTACTGTCACTTTCATAAGTCTTGATATCAGGTGGTGAGTCCTCTAAATGTGTTCTTTTCAACAGTTTTTTTTTTTTTTTTTTTGGCCATTCACTTTTCTTTTTTTCATTTGCTTGTAAATTTTAAAATGAGCCATCAATGATCCCCTCCCCCCAAAAAAATGCCGGTTGGGATTTTCATTGAGATTCCACTGTATCAATCATCAAGGGGGGGGGATAATTGATTCTTTAGTATTAATATAAAATATATCTCTTCAATTATTTAGGTATTTTTAAATATTTTTACATAGTGTCTTATAGTTTTCAGTGTACAGAAATTGTGCAAGTTTCATTAGACATACTCCTTGATGTTTATTTTTGTGATATTTTATTTTTATTTTTAAACGTGTGTAGAGTGGTGGGGTCCATGTGAGGATCTGCTGCCTAAGCAAACTGCGCGCCAGTGAGGACTGGGCTTCCAGAGGGCCCTCTCGCCCCTGGTGGTGGACCTGGTGCCCAGTGGGTGGTGGTGTGCCCCCAGGCCCCCCCCCCAGCAGTGCCTGGCAGCAGCTTTCCCAACCCTTGGGCTCCCCTTGTGCCCAGGGTTCAGGGCCTGCTGACGAGAGAGCGCATGCAGCATTTTGTGTTTTGTTTCTGTGAGAGTTCACTGAGAATGATGGTCTTGGAGGACATTTTAAGTGGTATTTTTTTAAGTTTTCATTTTCTAGTTATTTTCTGCTAGTATATAGAAGTACAATTTCTTTTTGTATATTGGCCTTACAGCCTGCCACTTTGCTTTTTCGTTCCAGTAGTTGCTTTGTAGAATCCTGAGGAGTTCGAATTCTCTGTGTCAAAATTATGCTGCCCACAAATAAGAACCGCTGCACTTCTTTCTTCCTAGTCTGTATGCCTTTTTAAAAAAAATCTTGCCTGATTGCATGGGCCAGGATCTCTGGCCTGATGCTGAATGCAAGTACTTGAGTGAACATCCTGACTGTGCTCCCACATTACAAGGAAGCTCACATTTCACTGTGAAGCATGACGTCTCCTGTAGATATTCTTTATCCACCCGAGAAGGCTATCTTCTGCTCCTAGTGTGCGGAGAGTTTCTGACATGAATGGACACTACATTCTATAAATGCCTTTTCTGCTCTTACTCAATGGCCATATCACTTTTCTCCTTTATCCTGCTAATATTTTGAATTACGCTGATTGCTTTTCAAATGTGAACCTTACATTTCCAGGGTAAAAACCCTCTTCATTGCCATTTGCAAATTTGTGTATTTTTATATATTCTATCATCATCTGCATATTTTACATGTTGCTGGGACTGATTTGCTGACATTTCATTAAGGAGTTCTGTGTCCATGTTCATACAGGATATTAGTTCATACTTTTCTGGTTTGACATCTCTGTCAGCATTAAGCTGGACTCATTTCTTAAGTGAAATGACCAAGGCACAGAAAGACAAACACTGCCTGCTCTCCATAGACGTGAGTGCTAAATAATTTGAGCACATGGAGATAGAGAGTAAAAAAATTAGCATATACTGGGAAGGGTGAGAGGGGTCAGGGAGGAGAAGAAACGCAGGCTAAAAGAGACAAACACACAGTCAGGTAGCAGGAATACGTTCGGTGGACGACAGCAAAGAGGTGACTGTATTTAACCAAACCTAAGGGTGATGGACAGACACACTCCACACCCCGGCTGGATCACTACACGTCATGTACTTAACAAACATGTATTGCACTTGGGTGATGAACAGACACACTCCACTCCCTGGCTTGAATGCCACGTGTCATATACGCAACAAAACATAATGCGCGTAGGTGATGGACAGACACACTCGACACCCTGGCTGGAAGGCTACACGTCATACACTTAAAACGTATTGTGCGTGGGTGATGGACAGACATACACGCTCAACACCCTGGCTTGATCACTACTCATCATACACATGCAACACAAATTATTGTGTACATTTGCACAGATTTTTTTAAACTGGTATATAATTTATTATTCTTCCACATATGCCTGCAAGAATTCCCCAGGTAAATATTGTGGGTCTGGAGTTTTCTTTATGTGAAAGTTTCTGATCAGGAATTCAAATTCACTGATATATTTAGGGTAATTTATATTTTTTATTTCTTCTTGGGTCAGATTTGTTAACTTGTGCTTTCCAACAAATGCGTTCATTTCACCTAAGTCATGAATTTTTTTAGTAAAAATTGATCCTAATACCCCATTATTTTAATGTCTCCTGGATCTGTTGTAATGTCCTTCCTTCATTACCAATATCACTTCTGTTCATCATCAGTATTCCTAGGCATACAGCAGCTTTTGATAATCTTTTCAAAAGATTAATTTTTGACTTTATTAATTTTGCTTTTTATCTAACTGATTTCTGCTCTTATCAGTTCCTTCATTTATTATTATTTGCTTCTTTTCATTGTTTATTTATTTATTTATTTGTTATTTATTTTGAGACTGGGTTTTACTCTGTTGATCCAGCTGGAGTGCCGTGGCTCACTTTAGCCTTGACCTCCTAGGCTCAAGCAATCCTCCTGTCTCAGCCTTCTGAGTAGCGAGAACTACAGGAAGATGCCACCAAGCCAAGCTACTTTTTAGTTTTTTTTTTTAGAGACAGAATCTTGCTGTGTTGCCCAGGCTGGTCTCAAACTTCTGGCTTTAAGAAATGCTCAGCCTCCCAAAATGCTGGGGTTACAGGGCCGTCAGCCACCACGCCCAGCCCTATTTCCTTTCTTCTCTTTATTTACTTTGGAGTTAATGTGCGCTTTTTTTTCTAGCTGCTACATGTGTGCTTAGATCAGTGATGCTGTATCTTCCTTCTTTCCTATTAAACATGTGCAGCCATAAATTTCCTTCTACGCACTGCTTATTTTCAGCCCACAAGTTTTCATGTTATCATTAGTTTCTGGTAGACTATCATGTCCCTTGTGTTTTCTTTGTGGGCCTTTGGGTTATTTAGAATATGTTGCTTAATTTCCCAATATTTGGATATTTTCCTCCCAATATTATGGCAGTCTGTTCACAATGTAATTCTGTGGTGGTCAAAGAACAGAGTCTTGAAGGTTTTTAGGACTTCTTGTCTCTACGTGAAACCCAACTTGTGAACACGCCATATGCACATGTGCTCTGTTTTCATTCCACTTGGGTTTCCTGCACTTCAGTTCTGACATTAACCATGCAGAGCTAGCTTCAGGGACCACAGGTGTAAAGGCTCCAGCCTCCACAAGGCTGCCCTTACTTCAGATGCCAGGTACATCTCAGGTCACCCAACCTTCAGACCAACCAGCTATAAATTTAGGAGTTCTCATAACCCCTTTCGGTTTGATAATTCACCAGGATGACTCACAGAACTCACTGAAAGCACTATACTTGTCATCACAGTTATATGATAAAGAAAACAACTCAGGAACAGCCAAACGAAGACGTACATGGGGTGAGGTCTGGGAGGGCCCCGGACATGAAGATCCCATGCCCTCTCCCTGTGGCATCAGGGAGGTCACGCTCCTGACACATTAAAATGTGTTCATCAAGCCTTGGGCATCCAGAGTGTATCTTTAACTTTTGTCACTAAATGCATACACAACTATGACCGGTGTCTCTGCCTGATTAGCTGTGCCTCTTATCATAAAATGTCCTTCATTACTTAATGTGACATTCCTTGATTTGAGGCCCATTTCATCTAATATTAATATAATCTCACCAACTTTTTCATGTTTACTATTTTCATGGTATCTCTCTTTCCATATTTTTATTTTCAATCTATCTAATCCTTTATATTCAGAGTGCTTCTCTTATAGACAGATATGTATGTTTTTCTTTTTTTTTTTCAGTCAGACAATCTCTGCCTTTTAATTGGGGTGTTTAGCTCATTTATAGTTAATATAGTTACTGATATCATTGAGTTAGATTTAAAATTTGCTATTTGTTTTCTATTTGTTCCATATGTTTTTATTCCTCTGCTCTCTCTTTCCTGCTTTTTTTTTTAGTTAATTAGCTATCTCTTAGTCTTCCCTTATACTTCATTGACTTTTTTTGGCAACTACTCTAGGAGTTATTAAATGCATCCTGAACTTATCACATTCCACTTAAGAGTTAATATTCTACTAACTTTATATAAATGTAAAAAATTTATAATAGTTCAATTTTATTTACTCTATCTTTTGTGTCATTGTTGTCAAATATCTTCCTCTAGAAATGTTTATAAATCCCATGTCTCAATATGTTTATGTGTTTACTATTTTCAATGTGTTTAGGTTATTTTAAGTTTAATAGGTTACTTTGATTTGTTCTTGTATATTTGTTTTGTATTTGTATTGTTTCTACTCCATTTCCACACTCTAAACCACAGTGTAATAGATTTTAATGATTTTTATTTCTAACAGACCTAGACTAATAGGACAAGGACGATAAAGCAGTGAAGCAAAGACCTGCTGACAAGCTGTGTGACTTCACTTGGGCGCCATTTCTTTATTTGTCAAAAAGATTGCTCTGAGCATTAGATGCATTGATTTATTAGGAGCTGGAGTTCAACAAATGTTACTTTCTCTTCCCTTTAATGAACTAAACGTTCAGCCTCAGATAGTTTTAATTAACGTCAATGCAAGTTAGGTATTGTGAACAAAATAATAATGAGAGGCAAATGAAATATAGTCAAGCCAAATGAGAACTCAAGGAAAGTATCAGTGTCTACTCATCCCAAGCTGCACTGTGCAAAGATATTTTTTAATTGACTACAATAAAAACAATTACCAAAATGTCCTTACCTTAATAGAATCGGTATCTTGTAGCTGAATTAACATGTCGATGAGTAATTCTGCTCCCAAATAGAATGGCAAGACAGAGGTGCATAGGAAGCCATCCCGGCTGACAGGAAACGTCATGCAGAGGTCCACGGCCTGTTTGAGCAGTATCTGCAGCTCCTGGGTCAAGTTCCAGAAGGCCCGGCAACAGTTCTGCAGCAGAGTCCAGTAGCCTCCGCGGTGCGCAAGGACCTGTGGCAACACAGCACATCACAGACCCCACTGCAGGCCCTCACCGGCTCTGTCCTCCTGCCAGTGTCCCACACCCACTGTAAAACACACACCCCCCGTGCTAGGCGCCATGTCCACACGCCAGGCGCTGTGCTGAGACATCCAGGTGACACTCTCACTTCATCCTGCAATCTCTCCTGCAAGGAAGCGTGCACTAGTATGCCACCCATTTTACAGATGAGGAAGCAGAGGCGGGGGTGAACTTGCCAAGCTCATGAGTCCACCGAATGCATGCCTGCCTCCCCTTTGGGGCCTGCCTCCAAACAAAGCCCCCACAGTTCTCGGAGCTGGGCCTGCGGCAGTGAGCAGGGGATCCGGGTATGTTCTCTGCTGCTTGCGTTTAGGAACACCAACATGAGAAAACCGGACAGCTAAAACTGTCATTTCAGGAAATCACAAGTCTGATCAAGAAAATAAAGCAGACACGGGGTGGAACCTGCCAGGGGGTGAGAGGACAGGGTAGGCAGGGAGTCCTCGCTGAGAAGAGAAGCGTGAGCGGAGACCTGCGTGCTGAGCCGAACAAGTCACCGCCAAGTGGGCGTCGGGTGGAGACCAGCATGTGCGGAGGACAGAGGGGGACGTGGAGGCCAGGGAGGGAGCAAGTTTCGAGCTTCCGAGGCGCAGGCGTGGGGGGTGAGCGGGGGTGGGGGTGAGGGCAGCGGGGTCCGGCAAGGCGGCCGGGCCAGTGGTTCCGGGGTGCGAAGCGGGTGGTGAGGACCCGAGGGAGGCCTGCCCTCCCTTTTGTGAAGTCCCTCTGTCCACTCCACGGAGACGATAAGCACCGGAGTCTTCCTTTCTTGCTTAGAAAGGGAAGTGCACTCCCTATGTGCCCCTCCTGTGGTGAAAAGAGGAAACTGATTCCTTTGTAGCTAACAGTTCCAATTCTGGGTTTGCTACCATCACATAATACTTTAAAAGAAAAAGGGAGAGAAGCTTTGAGCAAAGACTCGAGTGCCTGGGACAAGCAAGAGGTTGGGGGCGGGAGCAGGGAGTCCCCATAGCCCGGAAAGACCTTGCCCTGCGCTGGGGGGAAGGGAGACATCCGTGAAACCCTCAAGAGAGACCAAAGCCCCCAAGAAGATCCCCTACCTCCCCGAGAGAGCCCTAGGTCTAGCTGAGAGGTGTGTGCACAGTCATAGGAACTGCATGAACAGGCTCTGGGCGGACGGACAGCAGATGACCGGGAAGCGCCCCCTTCGCCCTGACAGCTGGACGTCGCAGGCCTCAGTGTCACAGCATGCACACTTGAAATGTGACTGAGGCTAGACCCAGCCAGATGAGGCCTCAGAGTCAAAGCTAATGTCAGGCACAGCGAGAACAAAGACAACGTCTCTCCCAGGCCTGCGTATACGTCCACTCTGCCAGCAAACAAGAAGGACGGCATTACCATCGCTCTCCTGCAATACAGGAAGATCTTCACGAAATGATCCATCAGGCCCAGACCGGCCGCCCGGTCCTTCTCTTTAGTACTAGAACCTGACTGCGAGTCTGAGTCGTAAACGGTCTGCTTCTTGGACATAGTCTCATCGTTCATTTGGGAATTAATAAACGCAGAAAATTCTTCAGCATCTGCAGTACAAAAATTTGGGACAGTGTGATTAAAAACATAGAACCAAGTTGCAGAAAACACAGTGGAAAATAAACCTCAGGTGAGTGACTCAGTTAACAAATGCTGCGTACACTTGGAGAGAGGGTGAGATGACCAAGACACAACGGCCCGGGGAAGGTTTCTGGAGGAGACACTGGGTCTTACAGGAGGGAGAGACCCAGCTCTACGGGAAAGCACAGAGGAGAACATTCAAAGACGACGACGGCAAAAAGAGCAGTGCAGAAGTAGGAAAGTGCAGGCTTGTTTTAGGGGCCCAATGACAGGACCCCACTGGTCCCGAATTTCCTCCCTAATGGTCCATTCCCGGACCAGACATTGGAAGCCAGCAGCACCCCTAGAGGCAGGCCGGCAGAAACCCCAGCCACTCAGTCATGGCTGGTGACACGTGGCAACGAGCTTCTCCTGCCACACACCTTCTCCTAGAAAGCTGCCTTAGACAATAAGCCTCGATAGCAGAGTATCCTCTTGCCGATGTCATGGGCGACCTTAGTCAGAAGTCCAGTTTAAAAAGAACTCAGGACCCTAAATATAATCTATACACAAAAGTCAGGCTCTGTGTCTGCAAAGCCCACTTTCAAGTACTCCAATAAGCCAGTATGCTTTGCAGGTGCCAGCGAACCCCGATCCACACCCTGGAAGAAACATGAGCTGACACTGACCGGCACACAGAGAACCCCAATCAGCATAGCACACATGGTGCTTAAATGCCATTATTAAAAAATCTACATAAGTGGGTGTGTAATTGAGAAAGATATTACAAATAAATGTTCATGAAATTAGTGGTATTTAAGATGAATAAAATATATATTTCCAAATATGTATGATGATCCCATAAAAATACAGAAACTTTTAGAAATAGAGCAAAGAATCTCCTACAAATATCAAAACTCAACTAAGTCTTTGGAAAATGGTGTGTGTACCTTTGTGTGTCCATGATGTGTGTGTGTGTGCTGTGTTAGTGAGCAAAAATCTAGAAGCAATTTATAATAAATTCGCATATTTATCTTACCTGATGGTAAGTTGGCCTTCCTTTTCTTAGCTGTGAGCAGGAACTCTAGCATTGCTTTGTAATTCTCTATGGTCAATTTCCCTGTTGGTAACACTGTTCCTGAGTTATACAGTGAGAATATATTGGGATCACATGATCGGAAACTGTAAGGGGAAAAATCACATGAAAAACGGAATAAGAAAAATCTAGTTTAATCTGTCAAACTCAATCTCTTTTTATTTTTAAAACATTTGTGGGGGGGGTACGGTGGCTCATGCCTGTAATCCCAGCACTTTGGGAGGCTGGGATAGGAAGATTGCTTGAGTAGAAGACCAGCCTGAGCAACATAGTAAGACCTTGTCTCTACCAAAAAATTTAAAAACTTAACCAAGCATGGTGGTGCATGCCTGTAGTTCCAGCTATTTGGGAGGCTGAGGTGGAAGGATTATCTGAGCCCAGGGGGTCGAGGCTGTGGTGAGCTGTGATTATGCCAGTGCACTCCAGCCTGGGTGGCAGAGTGAGACCCCTCAACTCAGAAAGAAAATAAAAACTGTGAGTGAGTGCTCCCAAATTTTGGATCATAAAGTATTTTGGCATTTACCCAAAGACTAACATTTTCCCAATAACTTTTAGAATTATATGGTGTGCTTTTGCTCTTGGGAATGTTGAAATCAATATCTGCTTCCCTGAAAGGGCCCTCAAAAATAGAAATACACATCTATACTCCCTCTATCTGAAACAATAATTGATTCAAATACAAGTGAATGAAGATGCTGCTGACTACAGCATCCTAATCGGTGCTACTTCTTAAAAATAAGGTCCGAGCAATGAACAATCCTCCACCAACAATAAGTAAATAACTGAGGATATGTGGACAGCTTTAATAAATTGGAGTTGGCACCCAGTCGCCCTGACACCAATTTGTCGCTGTCTTACCGTGCTCCCAAGTGATCATACAGAAAGGGTCACATATGACTGGATGGTCAGAGAAGACACCTTGGCATTCAGAGAATGGTCAGGAAGCCCACCTGTCTGGCCTACCTGTTTTCCCTATTGTGGCCCCATGAATGGTCCTTGCCAAACGCCTTCCCTGCTGGTCAGGCAAACTAACTGCTTTAAGAACGCCAACCTGGTCTAGCCCAGGAGTCCCCAGCCCCAGGCATGGACCTCAAGAACCCTCTACCATATGCAAAATAAAGCTCACATTTAATGGACATGGAAGATGCTGTGTGACCTGGTACACTTCTAATTGTTTCACACCACACCCTGTCTCACACCCTGGACTCTGGTCAGACTGTCTGGGTTCTCATCCTGGTGGTCCTACTGTGCTCCGATTCCTGTCTGTCCAGCTACGGAGACACTGATTTCCTGTGTGCACATCCTAACCCTTGCCCACTCGCCAGGACCCAGGCTTGGTGGCTCCTCCCTATGAGTCCCAGCCAGAGGACAGCCTCCTTCTGTGACAAAGACGACTCAATGAGTTTTCCACCTAATACCACTCGTGAGCACTTGGGAGCCCCACACCAGATGCCAACATATGGCCCGTTGTACCCAGGTCAGTGCCATGTATCCAATAGGTGCTCAATACACGTTCTTTTTTCTTTTTTCTTTTTTTTTTGAGTTGGAGTCTCACTCTGTTGCCCAGACTGGAGCGCAGTGGCCGCTCCCGGCCACCACAGCCTTGACCTGCTGGGCTCCGGCGATCCTTCTGCCTCAGCCTTCCAAGTAGCTGGAACTACAGGCATACGCTACCACACCTGGTGATTTTTTGATTTATTGTAGAGATGAGGTCTCACCAAGTTGCCCTGGCGGGTCTTGAACCCGTGGGCTCAGGCAATCCACTCACCTCAGCCTCCCAAAGTGTGGGATTACAGGCTGAGACACTGAGCCTGGCTCGTTCTTTTTTCATGTATGCTTTTCCATCCTTTCTGTCATGGCTACATGCATTACGTATGAATCTCCTATTATGTACGAATCTCCTATTTTTATCTCCCACGGCACTTAGCCAAAGACACTCAGGGGCCATTGCTAGGCTATTACCAGGTCATTGTGGCCATTGTCTTCCTAGACTCTGGTGTGGCCATGTACTCTTTGAGCTATGGTTGTTGCCATGTTTCCTGGCTTTGACCCCCAACCCTACCTTGGGGAGATGAATCTCCTCTTTCTTTCTCTCTTTCTCTATCTCTAATTTACCTTTAAAATGAACTATATTTTCTAATCTAAAAAAAGACACTCAGGAAGAGCTTGGAATGACTGTGGAACGGTGGTGGAAAGTCTACATCGCATGATCAAATATAATTCCTGAATAAAGGCCTAGACAAGACCTTTAAACAGGAAATAAAGACTTGCCTCATGCCTTCTATAGCCTACAGGTGATCTATAATTCAAGCTGGAGTTCCCTTGGAACTACACTTGACCCTTGCACTGAAAGGTAGGTCTGCAGACATCTGCAAGATCTATGCAAATGGTACTCCTAGCACTTGTGTTCAGTATTTGTTTGGGAAAGATTCTGAGAGTAAAAAATTAAGAAGGACGCCCATGGCCAGTATGAAGAGAGAGGCTCTCTGCAGAACGGCTCAAGTTGTCAGTCATGCCAGCGCTCTGGACACACAAGGGCAACTGTGCCCGCGAGCCCAAAAGCATCGTCCATCGTGGGTGCCACACCTGACCATCGAGTGGGAAGCACCAAGCTTCGTCCTCATGCGCTCCCTGAGCTTCTGCAACATCAGGTTAAAGTGTGCGCCTGCCAGGTACAGGTTCATCTGGGCCCTCCAGGGCATCTCCTCGAGGAATATCTGGTGGAACCGCCTTCTTCTGGCATAATTTAATATGAGCGGATTCAGGCGATCTGTCAGGCTGCGGTACGCCACCTTCCTGACGTCGGCTCTCTTATTTCTGCCAAGGGAAAAAGAAGTTTTGAAATTCCACAAAAACCTCCGGATATTTAATAAAGAAGGATCATTCTACTCTGCGCTGAATACATCCAGAAGCCACTTGACTGTCCTCTTAGCAAATGTCACCTTTTTAGTGCTAAAACATGAAATGGCGGTGACCAAGGCCCAAGCACGAGCAGCAGGGCAGACGCCACATGCCACATGCCCCCTCTATGACAAGCAGTGGGACAGATGTCACGTGCCCCTTCTATGACAAGCAGTGGGACAGATGTCACATGCCTCCCTCTATGACAAGCAGCAGGACAGATGCCATGTACCTCTCTCTATGACAAGCAGTGGGACAGACATCAAGTGTTCCCCCATGACAAGCAGTGGGACAGATGTCATGTGCCCCCTCTATGACAAGTAGTGGGGCAGATGCCACATTCCTCCCTCTATGACGAGCAGGACAGACACCACGTACTCCTTTCTCTGACAAACGTGGGATAGATGTCACGTGCCCTCCCATGACAAGCAGTTGGACAGACGCATGTGCTTACCCCCAAAACAAGCAGTGATAAGCAGTGGGACAGACACCACATACTCCCTCTGTGACAAGCAGACAGACAGACACCACGTGCCCCTTCTCTGACAAGCAGACAGACAGACACCACATGCCCCCCTCTATGACATGCAGCGGGACAGACGCCACGTGCCTCCTTCTCTGACAAGCAGCAGGCCAGATGCCACGTGCTCCCTCACCCCCTCTGACACCTGGGTCCTCAGCTCAACCCAACAGAGCGCTCCTCTTCTATAACCGAAAGGCCACTGAGCTTCAACAACTAAGTTATGGCATAAAGTTCACATTCGTCAACCGACTTCAATATTAAACAAGAAAATCATTTCTCGGTATTGATCCTTGAGGAAAAAACAATGCAGCAAAGTGCTGTCTAACACTAGCTACACTCTAGAGGAAATAAAACAGCAGTCGAACATAGCTGAAATGACTTCATGAATGCACATTCAGTACACTCCAGAAAAAAATTCCAATTCCAGTTCACAGTTCAGGTTTCAAGTATAGCGTACATTTCATTTTTAGGAGCCATTCCCATTAAAACTCAACGCAATCCCTGATTTTGTGGCCGCATGGTTGTTCACGGAGCATGATTTCGGCTCTTCCAAGCACTTTATCATGTGCTTGTTCTGCTGGCAAGGCTTCTGCCCCATGGGTCAGGACCCGTCTGCCCGGGTTATATGCTCACTCTGCTTGAATCTCATTCTGAATCTGAATGCAGCAAGAAAAACAGAAAGAGGGATGGAAGGAAGGAGGACGTGCAGATGACGCAGCAGGGTGCAGATGCCAGAAAGGAGGGACTTTCCTTCCCATACGGTGGTTTACCTTAGCGTTTGGGTCTAAATAGCCTGTGGTTTGTTGGCAATTTCCTTTGACTCTAAGGACTTGGGGGCTTTTGCTGCTATTGAGTTGTTTTTAGTGACATGCTATGTGGCTTCCCAATGAGTGTGAATTTTTTAATCACTGTATCTTGGAAGCTAAAAACATGATTTTCAAAATGAAAACCAATCGTATCCCCATGTGAGGAGATCAGCCCTCTCCAAAAGGTCAAGAGGAGTCGACGAGGTTAGCTGCCTTTTCCCAGCCACCGAGAGGGTGGCAGCTAAAGAAGACCCATGAGGGGACCCTCCAGTGTCTTAGCGGGGTGACCATGGCTCCAGGAGGGAAATTGCTGCCCACAGAGGTAGGGAACACGCCCCCTCCCGTCACCTGAGTGGTCCTGCCACTCAGACATCCAGCAGCCAGATCCGTGTCTCCAGGAGAGAGAGAGGAAGCCCAAGGGGGGCAGGAAGGACGGAATGGACAGGATGGATGAATGGGACGGATGGGGTGAACGAGATAAGTGGGCCTGACAGACGGGACAGATGGGGAGGACAGCATGGATAGGGTGGATGGGACAAGTGGGGAGGATGGGGTGAACAGATGGGATGAATGAGGTGGACCGGATGGATGGGGTGAATGGGATACATGGAACTGACAGATGGGTTGGACAAGGCGGATGGGGTGGACAGGGTGAACGGGATGAATGAGATGGAAGGATGGGACGGACGGCGTGGATGGGGTGGACAGATGGGATGAATGGGCTGGCAGGGTGGATGGGCAGGTGGACGAGGTGAGCGGGACAAATGGGATGGGCAGATGGGATGGACAGGAGGCACAGGGCAGGTGGGGTGGACGGGACAGACGGGGCAGACGAGGCGGACGGACGGATGAATGGGACGGACAGACGGACAGGGCGGATAAGACGGGCAGAGCGGACAGACGGATGGACGGGGTGAAGGGGATAAACGGGATGGACGGATGGGACGGAGGCAATGGACGGGCGGACGAGCTGGACGGGGTGTGCCGTGTGGGTGGGATGGGTGTGAAGGACGGGTGGGTGAGACGGAGGAGGCGCACGGGTGGACGAGACGAACGGGATGGACGGGAAGGAAAGGCTGGACGGACGAACCCAGAGCAGGCCGGCAAGCCCCCAGCATGGCAGTGGAAAGAAACCCGGAACCTGCCCTGCATGTCCTGGCTGAGAAAATGAGCTGGTAAGGGAACGGAACGGACAGGGTGCTCCCCCTTGGGGAAAGAAAAGCGCTGGCAAGTCTCTGCGGCTGTGAACGGCAACGGGAGGTATGAGCCTGACTTAGGGTTTTAGATAGGCAGACACAGAGACGTAGAGATATTTGTTTATGCTGCATCTATCTTCAGACAGACACGAGAGAGAGGGAGAGAGGGAGGGAGGTCGGCCGGTCGGCCGGTCAACAGATAGATATGTAGGTAGGTAGGCAGGTAGGTCGAGAGATTTATGTGGACACATGTATGTCCTAGGTCTGACCGTCGAGGGGCCTAGAAGCCAGTCACATCAGCCGCCCCCACAAGCTGGAATCCAAACACCACGTGGCACAGAGCAGTCACCTGCACCCCGGCTGTGCGGGGCAAGTGCGAGGTGAGTGTCTTGTGGCAAGAAGGAGCTCAGAAAAACGATGGGAATGTGCCAGGAAAACTGACAGGCCAGCCCGAAAGAGCTCCTGCGGGCCAGATCAGAAGGCCCTGGGAAGTAAAGCAAACGAGCCTGCTAATTTGATAGAGGATCCATGCCTACAAGCCTGCCCCAAGCCACACTCTTCACGGTAAAATGCTGCGGGCCTGACCGCGCCCCCTGGAGTGGGGTCACTTGGAGAGCCGCACCAGCACCTCTCCCAGCATGGTACTGGGGACGGAGCCAGGGTGGCAAGAAAGAAAGACAGGGAGGAGGTGTACAGACGGGAAAAGAAGAAATGAAGCAGTCACCAGTCATAAACAATGCACTTCTACTTGAATAACCTAAAATAAAGCACAGAGTATGAGAACTGATCAGTGAGTGGACTGAACCCACTGAAGGCAAAGCCAACGTACAAAAAAAAGCTCAGTTTCTACATACCCGCAATAAAAAAATACTTGAAGATGAATTTCTTCTAAAAAGTCGTTCCCGGTAGTTTTAAAATCACCTTGAAATTAATTAAAGCAAAGGTGTCTAAAACCTGATCACAGGAAGTAGAAATTATAAGGATAATTTTAAAATACACAAAACTAAGTTAGAATAAAAACACTTCTATTAATAAAAGAATTGGTTCAACCTCTATGGAAAACAGTATGGAGCAATCTCAAGTAACTAAAAATAGTCACTATTCAACTCAGCAATTCCACTACTAGGTATCTACCCAAAAGAAAATAAATCATTATATAAAACAGACACCTGCATTCATATATTTATTGCAACACTAGTCACAGTAGTAAAAACATGGAACCAACCCAGGTGCCCATCAGTAGTTGACTGGGTAAAGAAAATGTGGTACGTCTACAACATGGAATGCTGCACAGCCATAAAAAGCATGGAATCGTGTCCTTTGCAGCAACATAGACATGGAATTGAGTCCTTTGCTGCTGGAAGCCATGATCCTAAGTGACCTGAGAGCAGAAAACCAAATGATGTGTGTCCTCACCTTTAAGTGGGAGCTAACCTGTGGAGACAGGGACACGCAGATGGAAACGACACGCAGAACTCCAAGACAGGGAGGGAGAGGGTTGAAAGGATGCCCTGTTGGACACACAGTGTGCCATTCAGGTGGCAAGGTCGCCAGACACCCAAGGCACACCACTACACCTTGCAGTCATGTAACAAATATGAATGTGTACTCCCTGAATCTAAAATTTAAATGAAAACAAAAATAAACCGCAGGATGCAACTAAAATAGTGATTAGAAGAAAATGTCAGTGTTCACATTTCCTGGATTTAAGATAATCCCAGCCATACTTCCAGCAAGTTTCTGTGTTTTTAAATGGTCATTGTACAGTTATGCATCCCTTCATGTCAGGGATATGCTCTGAGAAATGTGTTACTAGGTGATTTCATCACTGTGTGAACCATACTGGGTGTACTTACAAACCTAGACGGTGTAGCCTAGTACACACCTAGGCTGTATGGTGTAGTCTATGGCTTCTAAGTTACAAGCCGGTACTGCATGTTACTGTGCTCAGTACTGTAGGCAAATGTAACATGATGGTACATAGTTGTGCATTTAACCATAGAAAAGGTGCAGCAAAAATACAATTATAGAGTGATCTCTCACAGAAACAAAGATCTGACTTTCACATGTTCTCACACATAAGTGGACCTTGAGCAACTATTGTAATACTATAAGAAAAGGATTGACAGTGGCGGGAAACTGCGGGGGGGGCAGGGAGGAGTAGGAAGGCGGGATTAATGGTAGTCAATATCTGTCTGGGGAAAGGGGGGCACACCTCATCAACAAGGCTACCTGCACAGTGAATATTTGTATACCTAACCCTTAACTGTACCCTACAATTTTAAAATATATTTTAAAAGAGAAAAAAGAAATTCTAAGCACACAAGGAAGTCTATTGACATAAAAAAAATTTTGGTAAATCCAACAAATAAAAGAATTAACACCTGAGGC